GAACACTCTAGGCTGTGGGCAATCTCTTCTAAAGTGGCCTGGCTGATTGCAATTAAAACAGGTCCGGATTGTCATAATGGTCCGGTCCCGGGGGAAAGGGATTGGTGCAGGCAGTGCCTGGGGTGATTGAGTGTACTGTTGGGGGAATACCTGAGGGACTTGATTAGAACTAGCGATAGGTGTGGAGGTGGTGTACATCAGCGGGCTAGCCCTACGCTGTGTGGGTTGTAAAACAGATTCTAAGCCCTTGGCTACCAACAAAAGGGTGTCTAGTGGAATAATTCTATACTCAGGGCGAGCTAAAATTAACCCCTTACGAATATGTTCTCTCAATCCTGCCACAAAAGCTGCAGAGAGCATCTGGGTGTGTGCTTTGTTATAAGTGCTGAACCCTAAGTCCGAGAATGTCTGAGTCAACCTGGAGTGGTACTTTTCAACGGTCTCAAGTTTGTCCTGTATTATGTAATTAATGCAAGTAGCCTGGTCAGCTAGTTTATCCTGCGCCCAGGCGCGAAGTTGTTCACAGAAAATTTCACCAGAACGGAAATCAGTATCAGAAGTAAGTGGAGCATCACTAAAGCTCCGTTCCATGATTGGCCAGTATGCATCTCCAGCCTTAATTTCACATAAACTTATAAGATCCCGCCATGCAGCGGAATATGTCTTGCGGATCTGTGCCATCCTGCGGAAGAAGGGCATGGGGTGTTTCTCAGGATCAGGGAGTGAGGTTACAAGGGTAGCGGCTTGGGAAGGGTTAAAGGTAACGTACATAGGTGGTGCACCATCCGCACCATGGTTGATCTGAGTATACCCCTGGGGAATCGAGTGCCGTTGGGGAAGCCTTTCCCCCCCCAGATGGGGTGGGCTCTGGTCCACCACAACGACCTCCTCGGGCACTATTGGACCACGGTGAAGAATAGCCTCAGGGGTAGCTGTAGCGGGGGCATCTGGGAAGGGGGTGATAGGAGAGGTAATTGGGTGGAAACCCGAGGCTTGGGGGGAGGCACCCATCGCATAGGGCTGGTCCGAAGTCGCAGACACCTCGGACCCAACCACCATGATTGGGTAACTGGTGCTGGCGGGAGGGGCACGGGGAACTAAAGCCGTGGAAGGGGCCATCATGGGGGACGACGGGGCTGGCCGTGAGAGGTGGGTGTTGAGGACATGAGCAAGGGCAGAGATTGGATCGGAAGGCTCGGGGAGATTAACGGGAGACAATGGAGGGGTCGAAGGCTCGGGGGGAGGAGGTGGAGGAGGAGGTGGAGGTATATCAATGGGAGGCAACGCAGGGATTGCGGAGTTAACCAGGGAAGTGACTGCAGTGAAAAGGGCGGATATCGAAGTAGATAGGTCATTGGACATAGGTGCGTCAAGGGTTGCCGGGGAAGGGGTTGGAGGGATAGGAACAAGGGGCTGTGGCAGAGCAACTTGGGCGGAGGGTTTGGACGGCAAATCGGCCGTGGGAGGGAGGGATAACGAGGTAGAGGGGGCTGGGACTTCGGGAGGAGGAGGTAACACTGGAGGAGAGGTGGTAACAGGGGGCTGGGTCAGGGCGGTGAGAGCAGAGATTAGGGACGGCAAATCGGCCGTGGGAGGGAGGGATAACGAGGTAGAGGGGGCTGGGACTTCGGGAGGAGGAGGTAACACTGGATGAGAGGTGGTAACAGGGGGCTGGGTCAGGGCGGTGAGGGCAGAGATTAGGGACGGCAAATCGGCCGTGGGAGGGAGGGATAACGAGGTAGAGGGGGCTGGGACTTCGGGAGGAGGAGGTAACACTGGAGGAGAGGTGGTAACAGGGGGCTGGGTCAGGGCGGTGAGAGCAGAGATTAGGGACGGCAAATCGGCCGTGGGAGGGAGGGATAACGAGGTAGAGGGGGCTGGGACTTCGGGAGGAGGAGGTAACACTGGATGAGAGGTGGTAACAGGGGGCTGGGTCAGGGCGGTGAGGGCAGAGATTAGGGACGGCAAATCGGCCGTGGGAGGGAGGGGTCCTGGGGCAGCGGGGAGACAGAGATCCGGAGGAATAGGGCTGGTGGAAAGGGTATGGGGTAGGAGAGTTGGATGTGTGATAGACGGAGAGGGTGAAGGAACGGAAGCTACTAAGGAAGGGGTACTCGGGGTTGAGAGGGAAGCGGAAGGGGAAGGTGGGACTTCAATGGGTGAGGTGAGGGAAGCCATGGTAAGGTCCAGAGTGGGGATGGTCACTGGGGGAGGTAACGAAGGACATGAAAGCGGAGGGGTTTCGACAGGCATGTCAGGAGGATGGCTAACGAAGGGGGTTGGATCATAGGAAGGTTGAGGCATGGGAGTAGGAGGGAACGAATGAAGTGGCACTGGGTAATAGTAAGCACCATCCGCACCGAGTACGGGGCACAGGGGAGTGGGAGCTGAAGACACGCCCCCAGAGGGTGGGGTCTGTGTCGTGACGGGGGAAGCAGGGCGGGAATTAAGTGTTGCGCTCCGGGCGCCATCATAGGGCGGTGGTCGTGGAACAATAGAAACAACATCATCATTGTGAACACTCCTGTGATAAACATACACAATTTGCCCCTCAACTTCCAGTTCTTCCTCGACCCATCCTTCCCGTTTCAAACCTCTAGCCACCCGGTACCAAGCCTCTGCAACTTTCGTAAGTCCATTATCCAACAACAACCCTTCCTTGTCTATAAGTAACTTCCTCCAAAACTCAGGTTGTAATCTCCCGCTGGGCAACATCTGGAAACCACACACCTTAGCAATCTTTTTAAGTTTTAGCATTGCATCTTCACCTGCCCTTTCTTTCACAATGTCACAAGCTAGCAAGCCCTTAGCAGGTCTAGCGTGTTCCTGTCCCATATTTGAGTAACCAAAGCGTGCCACACGTGGAAGACAAAGAAGTATAGTAAGTGTAGGGGAAAAAGAATGTCTACAGTGCTCGACTGCCACGAGAACTTGAGCCCCGTGCGTCTTCCCCAAACGTAGACTAGTCACGGAGATCCGCCCACCCGGGGTGGTGGTCACGGACGGGAGCGAATGAGCGTGGGTGACTAACACAGCTCTGGGCAACAGGCACAGGAGAGATAAAGAACAAAGGAGAAAATGAACGTGGCTGCGCTAATAAGAAGACATTTGCAAAAATCACAAACATACAAATGAGCGTAAACTCCGGAATCCAGAACTAACCACACAATACACACACACACACCAAGGGTACCCACACTGTAACAACAATTAAACAGAAACCACAGAATGATAGAGAGCAAAATGGCCATGTACATGTTAACACCACCGGTGTCAGATATTCAGAATATAACGATCTCCAGCCTTCACCCACCAGGCTGGTCCCGGCAAAACACTGGTACCAACGGAAATACTACAATAATCAGACAAAAATCTCAGCCCCACCGGCTGTAATGCGTTCCCTGCCCGCTAGGCAGTCAAGCTAACATAAAAACCCAGCCCCACCGGCTGTAATGCGTTCCCTGCCCGCTAGGCAGTCAAGCTAACATAAAAACCCAGCCCCACCGGCTGTAATGCGTTCCCTGCCCGCTAGGCAGTCAAGCTAACATAAAAACCCAGCCCCACCGGCTGTAATGCGTTCCCTGCCCGCTAGGCAGTCAAGCAAACATAAACCGCGTTCCCTGCCCGCTAGGCAGTCAAGCAAACATGTAAAATGCGTTCCCTGCCCGCTAGGCAGTCAAGCAAACATATAAAATGCGTTCCCTGCCCGCTAGGCAGTCAAGCAAACATAAACTGCGTTCCCTGCCCGCTAGGCAGTCAAGCAAACATGTAAAATGCGTTCCCTGCCCGCTAGGCAGTCAAGCAAACATATAAAATGCGTTCCCTGCCCGCTAGGCAGTCAAGCAAACATATAAAATGCGTTCCCTGCCCGCTAGGCAGTCAAGCAAACATAAACTGCGTTCCCTGCCCGCTAGGCAGTCAAGCAAACATGTAAAATGCGTTCCCTGCCCGCTAGGCAGTCAAGCAAACATATAAAATGCGTTCCCTGCCCGCTAGGCAGTCAAGCAAACATAAACCGCGTTCCCTGCCCGCTAGGCAGTCAAGCAAACATGTCTTAAAGGTATAATAAACACACACACATAAATGAATACAGGAGGCAGATAGACAATCGACAGGTTCACTTAAAAAGGGCGCACCGGATGAGTTAGTTACCTGTCTCTAGTAGCCTTCTGGAAGCCGGAAGTGGACTCGGAGACAGACCGGCACAAAACAGGAGAATAACACAGGCAACGGCTGTATTATGGAGGTGATCAGGCTCCGCTTGTCCCACTTTCCGGAGGTCCGCTCCGGTCCGTTGGTTCCGGCCCTCCGAACCGGCTGGCCCCACGTTGGGCGCCAATTGAAATGGAAAAATCAATTAAAAGTATTGATTATTTCTTTGTGTATCTGCCCCTGGCCAAATCAATGAAACAATGCGTGCACGCTCCCTGAAGTAATTCACACCAGACACAGGTTCTAGGTTGTTGAATAACTTGAGGAAAGTTTATTCAGAGGGGACGGCAAGTCCCTTTTAAAGCAAAATTACATCATATGCATTGTCAGAGATAACATGGAATAATACATCAATAATTGGTTAGGTGTTAAGTGGTTGCTCTAATGCTCTGCCTACTGCAGGTGATGTCACCGGGACCATGAGGGTCTCCCACGGTTTTCCGGCGCCATCTTGTTACACGAGGTAGTTAGTCGATGTTTAAAAAGGGAGGGGAAGGAGGGGTTAGAAGCTTCTAGCAGCCATCTTGATTGAAATATGTGTACTTAGCTTTATATGTGAGATATATATATATATTGTAAAATGAGTAAATAGACATTTTCCTTTAACTAGGAAATATGTGTAGACCTTATTTCCACAACAGGGACACTTTAATTTTAGGGGGTGAAAGGGTACTGAAATGGAAAAATCAATTAAAGTATTGATTATTTCTTTGTGTATCTGCCCCTGGCCAAATCAATGAAACTATGCGTGCACGCTCCCTGAAGTAATTCACACCAGACACAGGTTCCAGGTTGTTGAATAACTTGAGGAAAGTTTATTCAGAGGGGACGGCAGGTCCCTTTTAAAGCAAAATTACATCATAAGCATTGTCAGAGATAACATGGAATAATACATCAATAATTGGTTAGGTGTTAAGTGGTTGTTCTAATGCTCTGCCTACTATAGGTGATGTCACCGGGGCCATGAGGGTCTCCCACGGTTTCCCGGCGCCATCTTGTTTGCACGAGGTAGTTAGTCGATGTTATGAAGGGAGGGGAGGAGAGGGTGGAGGGGCTAGAAGCTTCTAGCAGCCATTTTGATTAAACATGTATGCTTAACTCTATAATACTTTGTGAGATGAGTAAATAGACATTTTCTCTTATCTAGGAAATATGTGTAAACCTTATTTCCACAACAGTCCCCCCTAAAATGGCTATTTACCATAACAACTGCCACTATCCCTAATATATCCCTAATGATGTGTTTCTAATTACCTATCCATCCATCTTGGCAAGCATCGAACGCTTCACTCCGTGGGTAACCCGCAGCGGCTAATCCACTACATCTCCACACGTGAGACTCACCTGCCAAGACAGATGCTTTCCCTATACTATCCCTACAGGAAGGCAGTTGTCTGTTTGAATTGGTGTGCCTGAAGGGGTGTATGTGGAGTGTCATCTTCGAGGTCTGTGACGTCCTGATGTAGGAAAGTAGGGGTCACGTCAACTACAGTCTTATCTACTGCTTTCTGTAAGTACTTTTGTATGCAAGGGAGTACGTAACAGGTCAGAAATAAGAAAATGATGGTCATTATAAGAACAGCTGTCCCCACCTGGAAGAGGGTCCTCTGCCAACCATTCATCCATCCAAACCATCTGTCCCAAGTGTCGGTGACCCCTGAATTTTTCTTCAGCTCGTCTGCAAGACTATCCAGCTTCTCTATGGCCATAGTCACTTTACCATTTGGCCCAGTGTTGTCTGGTATGTATGTACAGCATGTCATGGTCTCAGGGAGGATTTTACATACACCCCCTTTTTCAGCTAGGATCATATCTAGGGCCATTCTGTTCTGAAATGTCATCTGAGTGGTGGCTTGTAGTTGTTCTGCCAGGCCCTGTAGGGCATCCCTAGTATAATTGACAAAGCGCTGTTGGTTATAGTAGATGTAGTTAATCCAATTGACATTTTTGTTGGCAGTTATCATTGGAATTAGGGATTCAAACCCTGCAGCCACTTCATCTCTTGCTTTGAATTCATTAGGCACCCCCCTTGGCACACCTATGGCATCAATATACACATGGGGGTCGAAGCTCCCTCGGATGGGAGTCTCTCGTTTGGTTCTGGAATGTATATGTGTGGGGTCTAATGTGTTATGACTACCATCTGGAATAATGTGGATAGGCATTATGACTTTAGTTAGGGCACACTCCCCCCACCATTGCCCAGCTAATTGGGACCTTAATTGTTTATCACCACATAACCAATAGATATCACCGATTGTCTTCGTATGATTCATTAACAGTGATGTAGGTGGGTTATGATAAGTTGAGCAGTATCCTGATGGGAATTTGCCCAGATATAAACCAGTGTTCTTTGGTATTGCATAACATGTGTAGTTACCTGGGTAGATGGTGACTCCATCAGGTGGCTTTACATGTCCATGACTGATCGGGTAGATTTTCTTCCACGATTCACATGTTGAGGAGTTAGTGGTGGATTGTGCATAGAGACTCAATACGCATAATTCCACCTCGGGAGGTAGACTCAGGGGAACGGTACCCAGATGGGGCCTAGCCCCTCCACATACATAGCAATTAGTCTTGTTGTGTGAGTTAGCATTGTATCTCATCCATTCTAGCCACAAATTAGTATCTGAGAACCCAGTCTCTACGGCCATAGTGTCTTCAAAGGTGGGGTTGGCTATGGCTACCATGTCATGTAGAGTCTTAATATGGGGTTTTAATGGGTTAATTATCATGTGAGTGGTCCCTACCCAGTCTGAGGAGGTGAGCATATCTTGTAGGTAAAATGTCCCCAATGCATTATGTGAGCCACCCCCCTTCCAGTACATCCCCATCACATATTCCCCCGCGTCTCTTGGGCTAGGGTGCTCTATATTCATGGTAAGTTTAATGGGGGTTGACCCTGTGGGTTTACTCAGGGTCATCCTGGAAAGTAGGGGCTTCCCATCTTTGTCAAGTCTGTCCAGTGCAACCTGTGGCCTGTAGCCCCATGGCCTACCTGTATTCCATCCGGCAGCTTTCCATGAACTACAATGATGTCCCCAAGCTCCCCCGGTCACACAAATGTATGGATCCTTTTTATTAGGTATGTCTTTGTATATGGCTGCATATTGTGTTTGTGGAAATGTACAAGTAACTATGTCACAGTAATCAAAGGTGTACGTGGCTACATCAGTGTTAGAAGAATTGTACCAAAAGGTGTATACATGATTATCTTTGGTTATGGCCACTTGTTGAGCCCATGCAAAGTGCAACAACATAAGAAAACACAAGACACATGATAAATTCATATTTCAGCAGGAACAGCTTCTTCTGGGGCAGGCACTTTTTTGCAATGTGAAGCGTGTATCCAGGAACTCTTTCCTGCTAGTTTAACTGACGTTGCTGTGATCAGGAGCACTTGATAAGGACCATCAAATCTCGGTTCTAGGGTGTGTTTCCTGAGAAACTTCTTGACCATAACCCAGTCACCAGGAAGCAGCTTGTGTGTACCTGTATTCGACTCAGGATCTGGAATAGAAGAAAACACTTGGGCATGTATTTTGGTCAGGGCATGGGAGAGAGCGGTCACATAATCTACCATAGCATCTGACTGAATCTGAAGCTGTTGAGGAAAGTAACAACCTAACCTGGGTGCTGTACCAAACAAAATCTCATAAGGCGATAGGCTATATTTTCCCCTAGGTGTGTACCTTACACTAAACAATGCCAGTGGGAGACTCTCGGGCCAGGGCATGTTAGTTTCTTGTGACATTTTAAGCATTCTGGCTTTCAAGGTGCCATTCATGCGCTCTACCTTACCACTACTCTGTGGGTGATATGGTGTGTGGAATGCAAGGGTCACCCCCAGTGCTGACCAGACTTCCCGTGTTAGCGAGGCAGTAAAGGAGGTCCCCTGGTCACTTTCAATCACTTCTGGGACTCCATAGCGGCAAACAATTTCCGTCAAAAGATACTTGGCTGTAGTCCTTGCGGTGAGGTTAGTTACTGGGAAGGCTTCTGGCCATCCTGAAAACATGTCCACTATGACCAATGCATATTCATAACGTCCACTCTTTGGCATCTGAATGTGATCAATCTGGATCCTCTGAAAGGGATACTGTGGCTTGGCTAGGTGGTTAGGTGCGGTCTTTATAATCTTTCCAGGATTGCATTTAGCACATATAGTACAAGACTTACAGTAATTCTGTGTTAAGGTGGTGATGCCTGGTGCTTCAAAGTATTTGTCAATCAGTGAGTTCATCAGAAGTTTTGACAGGTGAGCGGGCCCATGGGCCCATTGTACCACTGCTGGGTACATGCTTCTGGGTAAGCAGAACTTGAGATTGATAGTGTAGACATCATCACGGAGTACAGCACCTTTATTTTTCCAACCTTGTTTCTCCTGGGGAGTGGCAGCAGCTTGCTGTTCCTTCAGAAGCCTAAGGTCTGTAGGTAATGTTTGCATAGTGTAGATAGGTAATGTGTCTGTGGCCACTCTTCTGTCCACTTCCCATCTTTGCCGTGCTGCTTCCTTAGCTGCTTGATCAGCTAGGTGGTTACCACGTGCTTCTTCTGTGTCTAATCTTCCATGAGCTTTTACTTTCAGTACTGCCACCTCTGCTGGAAGTTCCAGTGCATCCATCAGCTCTGCAATGGCTGCCCCATGTTTTACTGGGGTACCAGTGGCCGTAAGAAATCCTCTGGTCTTCCAAATTAGGCCAAAGTCATGTGCCACTCCCAGGGCATATCTTGAATCCGTGTAAATGTTGACACGTAAACCTTCAGACAATTTGCAGGCCGCAGTTAGGGCTGTCAATTCAGCTTCTTGAGCAGACTTGGTTGGTTGTAGAGCAGCTGCTTGTAATACTTGGCATTCTGTGGTGACTGCATACCCAGTGTGATATTGCCCCTGTTCATCAGCAAATCTTGACCCATCCACAAATAGTGTTTGGTCCGGATTGAGTAATGCAGCTTCATAGACAGTTGGTAGGTGTGTGGTTTCCATTTTCATTTGTTCAAAACAATCATGAGGGATATCGATATCACAGTTTGTGGTGAGTGGATCCTCACAGGCTTCTGTATGGTACCTGGGGTACCCAGCTGTGCAGTAATTAATAATCCTTTTGTTGACCCCCGTAGAAGTCAGTTGTTCTTGGGTCATTTGACTCCAGGTTTTGGCTATCGGGCCTAGGTCTTTCCATGAGATGTCAGGAGGTCTGGTGAAGGAAATGTGCGGAATAGATGTTTCCCAATGGTGATAAAGATGTGTCACACTCTCTGGGAGGTGGACTAAGACGAGCATGGTACCTGTGTGGTCCCAAAACAAGTCGGTCAGGGTAATGTAAATTTCTTTGAGGTGGAATACTTCTTGTTCATAGTTCATATCAGGGCCTGGTTCATCCTTAAACCACAAAGTGCAATGAAGTAGGGCCACTGATTGTTCATCATGTGGAGGTGCAAGTGCAGGTAGTTGTAGGTCTTCTAGAACTTCTGGGTTGATGTCCAGGCTATACCAGTGGTGTACAATCCCCCCCTTGGGAAGTGGCAGAAGAGTGGCCGGATTAAGGGTAAGACATCTCTGGAGTTTCACATTGTCAGGTAGAAGCAAGGAGGTTTGGAGGCGGAGGTGGCGTTGGGAAGAAAGGTGTTTAGGCTGAACTTGTTGGAGGATAGCAGTAATGTCATGAGGGGCCAGCACTGTGAGGTGATGGCCGAGAACAAAGTCATTAGTCTTATCCAGGAGAGCGCTGGCGGCAAACACAGCACGGAGGCAAGAGGGGCTACCCCTTGCAACTGGGTCAAGCATACAGGAAAAATAGCCAATGGGCCGTTGTCTGGTCCCATGTTTCTGAGTAAGGACTCCGGAAGCATGTCCTGATTTTTCAGAGACAAACAAATTGAAAGAGAGTTGGTAGTTGGGTAGGCCCAAAGCAGGTGCAGAGGCAATAGCTCTTTTCAGAGTACGGAAACAGTTAATAGTCTCTTCAGTGAGGTGAAAGGGCTCACTCCTGAGGGCATCATAGAGTGGCTGCATGAGTTTGGAAGCTTCAGGTATCCAAGATCTGCAGTATGTGATGAGACCCAAGAAAGCATGAAGAGAATGGTGGGTTGCAGGTAATGGGAGTTGCAGGATAGCTTGCACCCGTTGTGAAGTTAGGTGTTTGGTGCCATGGGAAAGGCAATGTCCCAAGAAGACCACAGAGGGCCGGCACCATTGTAGCTTTGATTTGGAGGCCTTGCATCCTGCAGCAGCGAGAAAGCATAGAAGATCTTCTGAGTCACGTTCTGCAATAAGTAAATTAGGAGCACATAGTAGGAGGTCATCAACATATTGAAGTAGAACAACATCCAGATGAGATTTCTGCCAGGGATCCAAAACCAGAGACATGGCACGAGCAAACTGTGTGGGAGAGTTCTGAGCCCCTTGAGGCATTACAGTCCAGGTATATTGTTGTCCTTCATGTGTGAAGGCGAAAAGGAAACGGCAGGAAGGGTCAAGGGGGACACTGAAAAAGGCATTAGCCAGGTCCACTACAGTAAAAATTGTTGAATTTGGTGGCACTTGGGACAAAAGGGTATGGGGGTTTGGAACAATGGCAGTGTCCTTTATGGTAACTTCATTAACAGCACGGAGGTCTTGTACCATGCGGTACTGGTCGGGTTGGCCCTTAACAGTGCGCTTTTTAACAGGGAAGAGTGGGGTGTTGCATGGAGAAGTGCACTTGGTGAGGGCACCCTTGGTAAGCAGAGATTCAACTTGTTTGGTGATGGCCTCAGCTTGTGCAGGCTTCAGAGGATACTGAGGTCTGCGAGGAGGAAGGGCCCCAGGCAGGAGCTTGACCAAGACGGGGGGTACATGTAGGCGTCCAATATCATCCGGCCCGGTGGACCAAAGTTCTTGAGGGATACGATCCAGAGCACTGGGGGTGTGTGTGACCCGTGCAGTCCCTGAATTGTTTGTTAGATTCAACAAGATGGGGAGGGAACATAGTACAGAAGTATCTTTTTGAGATAAAGGGGTTGTTAACTCAACCTGACCATCTGCAGTAAAGGTAATAGAGGCCTGGAGCCGGGAGAGAACATCTGCACCTAGGAGGTTAATGGGGCAAGTAGAGGAAACAACAAACCGGGACAGAATGTGTGAACCTACGTGTAAGAGCTTGGTAAGAGGGTTACTGCGTGGTGTGCCATCCACCCCAACACATGAAACATCGGTGTTAGAAAGGAAAGAAGGGTCAGGCAGGTCTTGTTCCCTAAGGACACTACGGGCTGCACCTGTGTCAACTAAAAAGGTTGTTGGGTGACCCTCCACGGGGAGAACTACAGTAGCTAAAGGTCCTCCCCCATCCCCCGCAGACACTGCCATGGCAGGGGTTGGTGACACAGGCTTGCCAGTTACCTATTGCAATAAATCTAGGTGAGCCTGATCTGGGCCCTGGTACCGGCGGGAAGTGGAAGGAGGGGTAGCAGCTTGCATGGGGGGGCGGGATGGACGGAGGGCATGGCGGGGATGAGGCTGGTTATCCTGGAAGTCATCAGTATCATACCCTTCAGTGGAGGGCGAAGTGTATGCACGCGCCTCTGTTACAGGGAGCCGGGCTTGGGAGTATTCAGGAGGTGGTGGAGGAGGAGGCGGAGGAGGGAGCTGAGGTAACTGCGGATGGGGCAGGGCGGGGAGATAACCAGTGGAGGGGAAGTGGTAGCCGGTGACATGGGGATTCTGGTACCGGAGGGTCTGTTGGCGGTACACTCTAGGGTGTGGACAATCTCTTCTAAAGTGACCCGGCTGGTTACAATTAAAACAAGTCCGGATTGTTGTGACAGTCCGGTCACGGTCTCGGGAGAAAGGAAGCGGTGCAGGCAGTGTCTGGGGGGACTGAGTGTACTGGGGGGGGAGTATCTGTGGACCCTGATTTGGACCTACAATCGGGGCGGAGGCAGCATACATCAGAGGGTTGGTTCTACGCTGTGTGGGGAGCATTACAGATTCTAAGCCCTTGGCTACCAGCAAAAGAGTGTCCAGTGGAATAATTCTATACTCAGGGCGAGCTAAGATCAACCCCTTACGAATGTGTTCCCTAAGCCCTGCCACAAAAGCTGCAGAAAGCATCTGGGTGTGTGCTTTGTTGTAAGTACTGAACCCTAAGTCTGAAAAGGTCTGGGTTAACCTAGAGTGATACTTTTCAACAGTCTCAAGTTTGTCCTGTAATATGTCATTAATGCAAGTAGCCTGATCTGCTAATTTATCCTGTGCCCAGGCACGAAGCTGTTCACAAAAAATTTCACCAGAGCGAAAGTCAGTATCAGAAGTCAGTGGAGCATCATTAAAACTCCGTTCCATGATTGGCCAGTATGCATCTCCAGCCTTTATTTCACATAGACTAATAAGATCTCTCCAGGCAGCAGAGTATGTTTTGCGGATTTGAGCCATTCTGCGGAAGAAGGGCATGGGGTGTTTTTCAGGATCAGGGAGCGAGGTTACGAGGGTAGCAGCTTGGGAAGGGTTGAAGGTGACATACATAGGCGGTGCACCATCCGCACCATGGGTGATCTGGGGATATCCCTGAGGGATAGAGTGCTGGGGAGGGGGCCTATTCACCCCTAGGTGGGGCGAACTCTGGTCAACCATAACAACCTCTTCGGGCGCCACTGGGCCACGGCGAAGAGTAGTCTCAGGGGTGGCAGTAGCGGGGACAACAGGAAGGGCGGTGAGGGGGGAGGTAGTAGGGTGAAACCCTGAGGCCTGGGGGGAGGCACCCATCGCATAGGGCTGGTCAGATGTCCCAGACACTTCAGATCCAACCACCATGATTGGGTAACTAGGACTAGCGGAAGGGACATGAGGGACCGAAGCCGTGGAAGGGGCAGTAAGGGGGGTCGGTTGGCTTGGGCGTGAAAGGTGGGTGTTCAGAACATGTGCGAGTACAGAGATTGGATCGGAGGGTTCGGAGGTATCGGCATGAGACAAGGGTGGGGTCGGAGACTCGGGAGGAGGAGGAGGAGGAGGTACGTCAATAGGAGGCGGCACGGGGATTGCGGAAGTAACCAGGGAGGTAACAGCAGTGAAGAGGGCGGATATTGAATTAGGCAAATCACTGGTTATGGGTGCGTCAGAGGTCGCTGGGGGAGGGGTCAGAGGGACGGAATCGGGGGGTTGTGACAGGGTCGGAGGGGCAGGGATATCGGGAGGAGGGAACACGGAAAAAGGAGGTGGAGGGATAACAACGGGGGGTTGGGTTAGGGCGGTGAGGGCAGAGATCAGGGACGGCAAATCGGCCGCGGGAGTGGGAGGCAACGAGGTAGAGGGGGCTGGGACTTCAGGAGGAGGTAACGCTGGAGTAGGAGGGGTGGCGGCAATGGGTTGGGTCAGGGCGGTGAGGGCAGAGATCAGGGACGCAAATCGGCCGCGGGAGTGGGAGGCAACGAGGTAGAGGGGGCTGGGACTTCAGGAGGAGATAACACTGGAGTAGGAGGGGTGGGAGGAGGATCCTTGAGGATGGAAGGGGTGTCTGTGGGTAAGGGGACGGAGGCAAGGGAACCGGGGTTAACGGGCTGGACAAGATTCAGGAGAGCGGAGAGTAGGGACGGGGAATCCTTGGAAGAGGAGGAGGAGGGGAGTGGATGAGAAGAAATGGGGGGCAATGGGAGTACAGGGGTAGGGATCACAGGGTTTCCCAAGGGTACTGGGACTGGAGGGCCAACTGGGGGACAGGGGTCCCGGGAGTCGGGGTCGGTTGGTTGGATGGGAACAGGGGCCGTAGGGCACAGGGCAGACGGAGAGGTTGAGGGGGCAGAGATTACTAGGGACGGGGTACTCAGGGTGGAGGAGGGCTGAGAGGGGGAGGAGGATGGAACTTCGACAGTCGGGGCGGGAGTAGTTGGGGCAGAACTCGGGGTGCAGACAGGCACTGAGGGAGGTAACGGAGGGCAAGGAGGTGGGGGAGCTCCAACGGACATGACAGGAGGATGGTTGGAGGAGGGGACCTGGTCACAGGAGGGCTGATGCATAGGAGTGGGTGGGAACGAGTGTTGTGGTATTGGGAAATAATAGGCTCCATCTACTCCAAGTACGGGACATAGAGGGGTGGGGGCTGAAGACACACCCCTGGGGGGTGGAGTCTGTGCTGTGACGGGTGAAATGGGGCGGGAATTTACTGCCGCGCTCTGGGCGCCATCATAGGGTGGTGGCCGTGGAACAATAGAAACAACATCATCATTGTGAACACTCCTATGGTAAACATGTACGATCTGCCCTTCAAACTCCAACTCTTCCTCGACCCATCCTTCCCTTTTCAAACCTCTAGCTACACGATACCAAGCCTCTGCAACCTTCGTGAGTCCGTTATCCAACAATAAACCTTCCTTGTCTATGAGTACCTTCCTCCAAAACTCCGGTTGCAACCTCCCACTGGGTAACATCTGAAAGCCACACACCTTAGCAACCTTTTTAAGTTTCATCATTGCATCTTCCCCTGCTCTTTCTTTCACAATGTCACAAGCCAACAAACCCTTAGCAGGTCTAGCATGCTCCTGTCCCATCTTGACTAATCAAAGCGTGCCACTCGTTAAAGACAGATGAATAGAGAAGGTATGAGGAAAGAAGGGAAAAAGAGTGTCTACAGTGCTCGACTGCCACGAGAACTTGAGCCCCGTGCGTCTTCCCCAAACGTAGACTAGTCACGGAGGTCCGCCCACCCGGGGTGGTGGCCGCGGACGGGAGCAAATGAGCGTGGGTGACTAACACAGCTCTGGGTCACAGGCACAGGAGAGATAAAGCACAAAAGAGAAGATGAACGTGGCTGCACTAATGAGAAGACATTTGCAAAAATCACAAACGTATAAATGAGCATAAACTCCCGAATCCAGAACTAACCACGCAACACACACACACACACCAAGGGTACCCACGCTGTAACAACAGTTAAACAAAAACCACAGAATGACAGAAAGTAGAATGGCCATGTACATGTTAAAATCACCGGTGCCAAATAATTGAAGTATAACAATTCTCAGCCTTCACCCACCAGGCTGGTCCCAGTATATCACAGGTATTAACGGGAGCACAGTAATAACAGTAATAAACAAACAAAATCCCAGCCCCACCGGCTGTAAAATCCCAGCCCCACCGGCTGTAAAACCCCAGCCCCACCGGCTGTAAAAATCCCAGCCCCACCGGCTGTAAAATCCCAGCCCCACCGGCTGTAAAATCCCAGCCCCACCGGCTGTAAAATCCCAGCCCCACCGGCTGTAATGCGTCCCCTGCCCGCTAGGCAGTCAAGCTAACTCATCAAAGGAATTAGAAGCACACACACACAGATGAATACAGGAGGCAGATAGACAACTGACAGGTTCACCTTAAAAAGGCACACCGGATGAGTTAATTACCTGTCTCTAGTAGCCTTCTGGAAGCCGGAAGTGGACTCGGAGACAGACCGACACAAAACAGGAGAATAACACAGGCAACGGCTGTATTATGGAGGTGATCAGGCTCCGCTTGTCCCACTTTCCAGAGGTCCGCTCCGGTCCGTTGGTTCCGGCCCTCCGAACCGGCCCTCCGGTGGCCCCACGTTGGGCGCCAATTGAAATGGAAAAATCAATTAAAGTATTGATTATTTCTTTGTGTATCTGCCCCTGGCCAAATCAATGAAACAATGCGTGCACGCTCCCTGAAGTAATTCACACCAGACACAGGTTCCAGGTTGTTGAATAACTTGAGGAAAGTTTATTCAGAGGGGACGGCAAGTCCCTTTTAAAGCAAAATTACATCATAAGCATTGTCAGAGATAACATGGAATAATACATCAATAATTGGTTAGGTGTTAAGTGGTTGCTTCAATGCTCTGCCTACTGCAGGTGATGTCACCGGGGCCATGAGGGTCTCCCACGGTTTACCGGCGCCATCTTGGTACACGAGGTAGTTAGTCGATGTTAGGAGGGAGGAAGGGAAGGGGGGGGGGGAAAAGGAGCTAGAAGCTTCCAGCAGCCATCTTAATTATAATATGTGTGCTTAGCTATATTGATATATATCGTGAAATGAGTAAATAGACATTTTTCACTAACTAGGAAATATGTGTAGACCTTATTTCCACAACACCCATATGGGATTAATTGTATAGAATACCAATCAGCACATCTTCCCTGCCCTGTGTGTTTGTTGCAAAGGATCCATACTGTAAATATGATTTTTGTTTGTTAATAAGAGAGCAACATTTACATTTTCAGCAGTCCAACACATGCTTCATTTTGAGCTGTAAACTAACCTTTTTATTGCAACAGATTCCTTTTAAATGATCCAGTGTAATAATTACTGCATATGTTTTGTGTCTTCTATGTCTCACATTATATGTGTTCTGTTCTTTTAAATTGTGGTATATAGCCTGGATCAGAGATTATGGACAAAGATTTCTACCTGTTTTACTAAGGCTCTTGGAGACTGACCGGTCTAAGGTTTGCCATGCCTTTTAAACATGGTATAGAATAATTTTTTTTTAAGTCTCTGAGAGTTCTGTAAGATTCTGGTGAAACCATGTCTGTGTAATCTGGTCCAAATGTTTGCTCAATTTCTATAAGATTTAAGTTGATGCAGTATCATCTCAGATTAGTTAATGGAAGTTTCATAAAATATTTGAGTTATGAGCGCGCTATATAAATGGATCCTTTCTCTATATACAATACTATAGTAGATTAAAGTAATGAAGTTAATAAGAAAAAAAAAAAGTATACATAAGAATCCCTAAAATAAATCTAATATAAACTAAAATTGGTATACCTTACAATAATATGTTCTGAGTACAGCTGTTAACTGTTTATTCTGTGTAAATGGTGACTGTGATAATGTGTGAAGTGTGCAGCTTACCTGGAAAGTGGTTTAATTTATATGTTGCTGTGTTGTTTTAAATTATATTTGAATCAGTTTGTCTCAGTCTAGTGATACTGATAAAAATGCCAGTCAAATAACCCAGCAAATAACGGTTTTATTAGCTGTTGAATACTAGCATTCTGGCCAAGAGTAGTTTGAGTTGGAGTAGTTCTATGAGCTCAGAGAGGCTCTGTGTTGTGGTCTGATATAGCTATATGGGAATGGAGACTTGGAGGGGTTAGTTTAAGACTGCTTTCATATTGTGTCTACCTGTGTTTCCTAGGAGGGACACAGAGTGTGTAGTTGTGTGCTCATGAATGTGTTTTCTGTATTGGCATATCTGCTGGGTACCCAATACGTGTATCTACTACGTCTGTTTTGTGAGATGACATGTAATATTACATTGAATGCTGAGTATGAGTTATATGGTTTGAAATGAATTGGTGTGTTATGTGTTTCATGTATTTTATTGTCCATTGTGTAGGAGTTTAACTATCAGAGTGATTTGCATATCATTAACGTAAGCATTTAGTGTTTTTACAAAAGGTGAAATGCTGTCCAGCCGGCTAGAATGAAACAATTGTATGCTATCGCTTATGGAGCACGAAAAGCGCTTGTTACATCCCACGTGAAAGGGGCCCCGCAAACTTCTGCTGTTCAAATCGTGGCTCCACATTTCCATTTGCAAACTGATTAATCCTGAAAGTCATTCTTTTACTGATAAAAAGGATTGAATGGACAAGATGTCTCTCCCTCATAAAGAGGTTCTAATAGGGGAGTATTGTCCAGCTCAGAGTTAACTCTATTTTTAAAGTATATTGCATTGTTTGTGTCAAAGTAAGATTCATCTAGTATGCCTCATTGATTATGGGGTAATAATAACATGGTATTTTAATAGAGATTAGACAATTTCTGAAATTTATAAGTGAGGTAATTTTAATCGCCTAAACTACTGTATTATATTTGTATGGGTAATTTGAAAGCATTTTGCAGATCCAGAAGAGGATTAATAAATAATATAATAATCTCACTAGGTTCCAAATTATGCAAAGAGGCTATCCAAAGTACCCACTAACGGGTTAAACTTGTTTTCTTGATAAGTGTGTAACATTTAGTTTTGTGGTTAGACTTTTGATACTCAATTTGAAATATGTCCCAATTACATCCTTGCATGGCACCAGGTACAGGAAGCAATATGCGTTTTAAAAATTTGCAAGGTCTTAGTGTTTTCAATATATTATAATAATGGAAAAGTACCTAACTGCATGTCTGCATTACGCTCATGACACAGACTGTCAGTATTGCAAGCCCTATATGAAGGCTATGCTTTCATTGTCGATGTATATACCCCTAGACAACCTTGCTTTATATACAAAATTTAACTATCCATTCAACCTTTAAAAGCTTATTAATATTATATCTGTGTGGTACACAAAGAGGGGGGTGTGAGTTAGGTAATCCCATCCTGCATATGGAATAAAGGCAGAGGTAGAGGATGCTGAAGTTGTTACCTCTACAAAATCCCATCCTGCATATGGAATAAAGGCAGAGGTAGAGAATGCTGAAGTTGTTACCTCTACAAAAGGGTCTAACTTTTGTAGAGGTAACAACTTCAGCATTGGTGGAACACACTGTTCTAATTGTGGATAGCAGGGTCACTGGAAAAATGAGTGCCCAAACCCACCCCCACAGATTCCTCAATACCAACCATAGCTTCCAACCTATACCCACACCCAACAACCCCAGCCTAATACACAGATGGTTCATGTTTGTAATATTTTATATAGTTTTAGGTGTTAATCCAAGAGTACTGAATTATTCGGGATTATTAAAGTAATTAATTTTGAATATCAAATCAAGGTTCCAGTTTAGGAACAGAGTTTTATTGGGAATTATCCCCATATGTATATGTTAGTGTTTTAATATTCATCCTAACAAGGATTTCTATAGAGTGAGTGCTACTCTCATCCGTACAAAGGCATTCCAAAGGGGTATTATGTAAAACTTCAGAGAAGACAGATTGCATAAAATTTAACAGAAGTACATGTTACACAAATTAAGGGTTTAACCTTAATCTTTAATTTAAGTTTTAGCCTAGGTAATTAATTAATTAATGTTGTATTGATCCTTGTGTTTGTATGATTGTAGAGACCGTCCTGGAGTGTTTGTGCCGCCTGATTTCTGGGACTACACACCAATCTCTCTGGCTGACCATGCAATAAGTATTTTGCAATTACATCTGTTTGGTCATTATCCATGCAGGCCGAAGAAACTGAGATACTTATTTATGAGGACATAAACTTTGCACGCAAGAACCTGGAAAGTCCTGAAGGTGCAGTGCTGTCTAATACCGCTGGTTCTGTAATAACCCTTTCAACCATTGGGGTGTTGTACAGAGCTTTGTGGTGAAAATCCAGCAAACAAAAGAAGAACTAAGAACTATATGGAAGCTGACATTGTCTTGTTGTCAGCCATATTGCTACCCTTAGCCATTTTTATGGAACAAAATGTCTGGTGTCTAAACTGATTTCTTTATACTCTGTGAAAGACTTATTCTATTTTTCTGAACTATGCTGAACTATTGAACTATTTTTATTTTTATTTTTGTAGAGTTAGCCAGAGAGAGAGGAAGTGTTAGCTGACCCAGGGACGGATGTACTATGTGTGTTTTTGATATATGTTGAGTGTGCCAGGGATGGATTCCCATGTTTTGAGGAACTGCGTGAGGATATGACTGGTTTTGACTGGACTTTTGGAATAGGGAAATGGTTAAAAGATATAGGACGCAAGGTCCTGGTTGTGCAATAATATAGTTGCTATAAGCCCAAGTTCCATTCTGTCTTAAACATCCATTTTCTATATATCTGTCTGCAAAAGTATTAAGTGTTTTTTGTTTTGTTTTTTTTTCTGCTGAGTTTCTGTTTCTTGTAGCCCACATGATTGCTTGGGAATGTCATAATGTGGAAATTTCTCTGTCTTGGGAGAATGTTAACCGATGATATGAGCAATATATATTGCTCAAAGAGGGGTAACAATTGTGATTATTGGGGCTCAGTTGGATGGAACACCGGGACAGATTGGGGTTATAAGCCACAGAATGCATTAGATAAAAAGGATACGAATGGGAAGTCCCTCTTGACTAGAATGACCCTAACAAAGCCAGGTACATGTACCCCTATAGGGCAAACTGGGCATTCCATGAAATTGACCTTAAATATTGAAAACCCCAGTCCTGGAGATCAAGGTACCTATATTCTCAGTACCTTTTTAAGAGGAGGTATTGGAGGTAATCGAGGAAAATTCCAGTTAAAAGATATGTGGAACTCCTCAGAATGGGAAAGCCTCACCTCTAGACAAACTCTTGTTAATCCTCTAAAGCCCCACATTCAAACCTTTGGTGATATGATGGCCATAGCAGATCCCACGTTTGGAGATACCATAGCTTTAGAAACAGGGTATACAGATACAAACCTATGGCTGGAAAGGATGGAGATGAGATATAATGCCCATTCCAGCAATAGGTCAAACTGTTATGTATGTGGTAGTGCCAGACCTCATCTAGGAACTGTACCTTTACATGTCCCTGATGAGTACTGGGAATGTTTCCTAAGTTTGTTTTCAGGTATCACTGTTAATACTACAGGATGTGAAGAATGGAAAAAGGGTCACCCTATTGGTGAACCCAAGTTTAATTTAAATGATGTTGTCCCAGTATATCCTGGTAATTATACTTGTTTTCAGGGAAATAATAATGGTAAGGTGGGTACACAATTTGATAACTTCTCTTCAGGATTCTGTACCTTAGTGAATCAAACACAATCTGTGGGAGATGTTTATTGAATATGTGGCGATATGAAAATACGTTCTAGACTCCCCACCCCTTGGAGAGGAGAATGTGCCCCAGCCAAAATAATCATGCCCCTCCATATATTTAGCGACTCTCTCCCTGAAATTAAGGTTGTAACTGATTCCACAAGAAGGAAAAGGAAATCCCCACAAGGTAGTTTCGACCCACATATCTATCTAGATGCCATTGGTATTCCAAGAGGGGTTCCTAATGAATTTAAAGCTAGAGATGAGGTGGCAGCAGGATATGAATCAATATTTCCCATTATAACAGCTAACAAGAATGTTAACTGGATTAATTATATATATTATAATCAGCAAAGATTTGTAAATTATACACGAGATGCATTACAAGGTCTTGCTGAACAATTACAGGCTACCTCACAAATGACTTTCCAGAATAGAATGGCCCTTGATATGATTTTAGCAGAAAAGGGAGGAGTCTGTAAATTACTTGACTCCGGTGTTTGTTGTACCTATATTGCAGAGAACACTGGCCCTAATGGTAAAGTAACCCTAGCTATAAAGAAATTAGAAGACCTGTCCATAGAAATGAAGAGGAATTCAGGTATTGATCACCCATGGGCAGATATGTTTAAGTTTGACAGTATCCTAGACTAGCTAAAGAATATTGCAATAATTATTGTTATGGTTCTGATCCTTGCTCTACTTGTTTATGCTATTTTCAAGATTATTGTATTCTGCATTTACAAACATACACGCAACACTGTTCCTGTAAAATCCCCAGCTTGATATGATGAGTATCTCAAAATGTATACACATAACCGAAGCAATGGTGAACATACTGATACAGATCTATAAGTTTGTGGTACTGGTCAGATGCCTAGTCCTATGCTATGGGAATAGTGGCCGAAGACATAATGAAAGACCTGCAGGATTGGCTAGCAATCATGAATATACCATGGCAGATGGCTGGTTGTCTGACCAGGACTCCTTAAATAGGGTATGAGCAAGATATTGCTCAAAGAGGGGAAAATGAAGGAATATTGACTCCTTAAGGACACATGACATGTCATGATTCCCTTTTATTCCAGAAATTTGGTCCTTAAGGGGTTAAACAATTAATCTGTCAGTATTTCAGAACTACTTGCAAAACATAACTGAAAGGAAGTCACAAGCTATGACAGTTTCTATGTATCAGGAAATGCCTAACCACAATGTATATGTAATATTTTGTAAGATTAGATTATTGAATGTAACAGCAGAAACTACTTCCTCTTTTATGTATCTTGTGTAACCTTTTTGTAACCTTTTGTAACCAATATTCGTGACAAATATTGTATAAGTACAGAGCATTTTGAATACATTGTCAGAAGATTATGGAGAGCAAAGAGTGTGTGTCTGGTTAATACGCTTCCATAAAAATCTTCCCTGAATATTCAGCTGACAATCGAGGGTTGGAGAATAGTGACCAGAGGGACCGAGTCACCAGATTAGCAGATTTACCTTTCACATGGGAAATGTAGTTGCGATCGGCGGCCAATATAAAAGTCAGATAAACTGAAATATTTGAATTACCAGATTGATATAATGTGGCAGCAAGGAATAAAATACCAAAACGAAGGGGCTAAATGTTTAAAAAAGGCAGTTAAAGAGAGGTCACGTGGTTTTCAGCATTAGTAGCCGAAATGCCTCATGGGAAATGTAGTTTGAGTTGCAGCATGTATGTTAATGATAGGAAACACCAAATATGGATAGTAAGATAGGGCAAAAGCTTGGCAATTGCTTTTTACATTAGTTTGAAAAGGTGGCAAATGTGATACTTTATACATTAGTTGAAAGAGGAGCTAAATAATATTAAAAATATAAATTACAACAGATTAACCTTATATTGGAAAGAGAGAGAGCAATCCTAATTAGAGGTGCAGATTTGATGAAAGGTGTTATAAATAAATTACAGACTTCAAATAACATAAAAGTTCTAAAAAATAAATAAATAAAATAAAATTGTGCATTTAAAGGTACAGGCTTTAGGTAACATAAAATTTCATAAAAAGTTATAAAAAATTGTATAAATCAAAATCTGCATTGAGGCCATGGGGTATAAGGGTCTGAAGTTTATACACCCATTCCATCTCTATTTTTCCAAGTAACTTTTTTATATCACCTCCTCGCCAGGAGGTAGAACATTTTTTTATACCAATACATTTTAAGAAACGAGGATCTTTATTGTGCTTGATAAAATGTTTGGATACTGTATGATTTAGGTATCCATTTCTAATATTTCTGCAATGTTCGCTCAGTCTTATCTTTAGGCACCTTGTGGTCATCCCCACATATTGGAGGCCACATGGGCACTCGAGCAGATAAATAACATTTTTGGTATGGCAGCTTATAAAATCATAAATATCATACACTTTTTTAGTTTGATTTGACATAAATTTTGTAGTTTTTGATGGAATAACATGATCCACAGTTTTACATACGGTGCATTGTTTGCATCTAAAAAAACCTTTTGTCTGAGGAAAGAATGATACATTTTTTAAAGGAGATTTTTTTGTAAAATTTCTAGTTAAAATAGATTTAAAATTAGGTGCTCCTCTAAAAACAATGTTTGGATGAGTAGGTATAATGGAATTAAGTATCTCATCATGTTTGAGTATGTGCCAATGTTTTCTTATTATTTTTTTTACATCGTTGCTTTTGTTATTAAAATTAAAAATAACTGGAAGTGATACAGTTTCATTATTTTCTTTATTTTTATATATCAAAAGTTCTTTTCGTTCTTTTTGTTTGACTGTATTAATTGTGGTATTCAGATCTGGTTCTGAATAATTTTTTTCAATAAATTTGTTTTTTAAAAACTCTGCTTGTTCATTAAAATCTGTGAGTTCTGAGCAATTTCTGCGAAGGCGTAAAAACTGACTTTTTGGGGCACTTTCTAGCCATGGCTTATAATGACAACTAGATCTGTCTATGGCCGTGTTTACACATACTTTTTAAAAAAAAGTTTTTGTTTGGAGTTGTCCGTTGTTGATAAAAATATTCAAGTCTAAAAAGTTAATGGATTGTTTACTGAATTCGTATGTGAGGATAATGCCCCTATTATTAGTATTTAAATAATTGATAAAATCAATAAGATGTTTTTCAGGTCCATTCCAGATAAAAAAAAGGTCATCTATATATCTAAAATAGGAGACTAGGTTTGCCCGCCAGGTATGATTGCCCCATATGGCTTCATTTTCCCAGTCAGCCATAAACAGGTTAGCGTAACTGGGGGCAAACCTAGTCCCCATAGCGGTGCCTCTTCTTTGTAAATAAAAAGAGTCTAAAAAACAGAAATAATTGTTATTTAAAATAATGTTGATACCTTCTATTATAAAATCTATTTGAGTGTCGGGAATCCTAGCTTCTTGGGTTAAAATTTCTTTTATAGCGTTACAACCAATATCATGGGGGATAATGGTGTAAAGGGACTGGACATCACATGTGACTAATATAAAATTATTTTTCCAGGTAAAATCATTTAAAAATTTTAAAAGTGACATGGAGTCTTTTAAGTATGATTTCATAAGTTTGACCGAAGGTTGGAGAAGGGTATCTATATATTGGGAAAGGTTACTTAAAAGTGAGCCTATCCCTGAAACAATGGGTCTTCCTGGGGGGTGTTGCTCATTTTTATGAATTTTATGAAGAAAATAAATAACAGGGGTAATTGGATGTTGTTTGTTTAAAAAATTATATTCATGTTTGTTTAGAATTTTTTGATCTAGACCCTTATTTAAAAAATTAGATAAAATGGTTTGAATATTTTTGATCGGATCGGTTAGAAGTTGTTCGTATACATTACCATCTTTTAATTGTCTATGGGCTTGTATTGCTCTCTCTCTTTCCAATATAAGGTGATTTTTTTAAAATACCCAAAACTATACTTTCTTACCCTCGTTTTTAAACTAAATATATTTTAAATAAGTTGTACCTTTATAAACTATGTGTAGAATAAGTTTATTTTGTATTTTAAAGTTGTACAAACGTTTTTAATTCTGATTGGATGAACCAAGTTTTGGCGCCAAAATTCAATTAATCATGCTCTTATATAACATTCATGTGCCAGGTAAATCATGTTATCCCATTTGATAAAGTCCTTGTGTGACGAAACGCGTTATGGATATTTGAATATTGTGTTTTTTATATATATTAAAGTATTTTTGGTCATTTGCTTGTGCCAATTATCTTTTTTATAGACACATATCTTTCTTTTTTACCCTGGCCTTTTTACTGTTAATTTTATTATTTTTACTGGTTTTAAAACAAACCTAAAAATTCCTGGAAGTTTCCTGTACCCAAAGAAATCCGTAGGTGGGGATCAATCCACCCAAGCTATCATCAAAGAGCAGTGGGTCTGCTCTTATTTTGTAAGTACATTTCTTTTATTATTTTATTATTATTTGCCATACAGTGAGCACTATTGGCTGTTTGTTTTATCCCGAGAATTGGATACCATTCACGGAGAA